GTCACACCTTTGACACCTAAATCACTAAAGACTATCTGGAGAAGCTTCGGAAAACGTTTCACCGTTCTCTATAGACTGATAAACTACAGTTAGACTGAAGTCAATGGACAATGGAACAGAAACTATTCCCGACAGACATTTTATAAAAAGAACATGAAAGGGGTGAAATATTGCACAGAATTGAAACAGATTTAGCTCCAGGATATAATAAATCTTTTTTTTAAGTGTCATTTTAACATGACAACTGACAAACTGCCCCTTGGATTAAATGAAGTGACTTTGAGAAAGTGACTTGCCAGGAACTGTAATGCGCCCACAATGATTCCTGCAACTTATGGGATAATAGTTTACTAGCGAAGGCCTTGTCTGCAGTTAGTGACAACATCCCTCCAGAATACATCACACTCTTGACAGAAATAATGTCCAGGAGATGGATCCAAGGTTCAAACATTATGAACAATATAACTATCCTTATATTTGATGCAGTCCGTTTCACGTCGGACGGATGTCCCAAAGTGCTTCTCAGGATATATCGTAAAGTGCGATGTGTGTTTTGTGGGTGAGCGGAGCAGCCAATTGTGCAATATAGAGGATTGCAGCCCTGGTATGTTCACTCATAACACTTTTTTTCAATAAAAAACAACTGACAAACTCTGTTCCCAAAGCGGTGTGTATAGGGGGGGTGTGGTGGGGTGTGTATAGTGGGAGGGTGTGGTGGTGTATAGGGAGTGTGTATAGGGGGTGTGAGGTGGTGTATAGGGTGTGTGGTGGTGGTGTATAGGGGGTGTGTGGTGGGGTATATGGGGTGTGTGGTGGTGGTGAATAGGGGGTGTGTGGTGGGGTATAGGGGGTGTGTGGTGGTGGTGTATAGGGGTGTGTGGTGGTGTATAGGGTGTGTGGTGGTGTATAGGGGGTGTGGCGGTGGCGTATAGGGGGGGTGTGGTGGGGTATAGGGGGTGTGTGGTGGTGGTGGTGTATAGGGGGTGTGTAGTAGTGTATAGGGGGTGTGTGGTGGTGTATAGGGTGTGTGGTGGGGTATAGGGGGTGTGTGGTGGGGTATAGGGGGTGTGTGGTGGTGGTGTATAGGGGGTGTGTGGTGGTGTATAGGGGGTGTGTGGTGGTGGTGTGTATAGGGGGTGTGTGGTGGTGGTGTATAGGGGGTGTGGTGGGGTATAGGGGGTGTGGTGGTGTATAGGGTGTGTGGTGGGGTATAGGGGTGTGTGGTGGGTATAGGGGGTGTGGTGGTGGGGTATAGGGTGTGTGTGGTGGTGGTGTATAGGGGGTGTGTGGTGGGGTGTGTATAGGGGGTGTGTGGTGGGGTGTGTATAGGGGGTGTGTGGTGGGGTGTGTATAGGGGGTGTGTGGTGTGGTGTGTATAGGGGTGGTGTGTATGGGGGTGTGTATAGGGGGGTGTGATGGGGTGTGTGTATAGGGGTGTGGTGGGGTGTGTATAGGGGGTGTGTGTGGTGGTATAGGGTGTGTGGTGGTGGTGTATAGGGGTGTGTGTGGGGTGTGTATAGGGGGTGTGTGGTGGTGTATAGGGGGTGTGGTGGGGTGTGTATAGGGGGTGTGTGGGTGTGTATAGGGGGTGTGTGGTGGGGTGTGTATAGGGGGTGTGTGGTGGTGGTGGTATAGGGGGTGTGGTGGGTGGTGTATAGGGGGGTGTGTGGTGGGTATAGGGGGTGTGTGGTGGGGTATAGGGGGTGTGTGGTGTGGTGGTGGGGGGTGGGGGTGTGTGGTGGGGGTATAGGGGGTGGTGTGGTGGGGTATAGGGGGTGTGTCCGGGACCCTCCCCCTCCCAGGGAACCCCTCCCCCTCCCCGGGACCCCTCCCCCTCCCCTCCCGTGATCGCCGCGACCCGAACAGACACCACCGGCGGCCGTCACAGCCCCACAGCCACTGGGGGGAAAGGTGAGATCTGCGTCGATTACACTCTGGTCCCCGTGT